AACTTGGTGAAGGTAGACCATTTGTGGGAGTACAATAATTTGGTTGATGGCTTTCTAGCCTTATTGAGTACTTCTTTTATGATGGGAGAATCCTCCACACTGTGAGATGGAGAGGTTCAATATCGGGGTGGCAGACATTGCCTCCGTCCTGAGTCAGGAGAGATGGTTGGGGTGACAATCTCAGGTACTCGGTCATGGACTTGAGGGTGGTAAACCATGGTTGCCAAGGCCACCATGGTGCCACCAGGATGGCATCTCTCTCAACTGTTGAATTTTGATTATTGTACGCTGGATGAGTGGGACGGGTGGGAAAAGGTCAAGGACTGTGTCCCATTGCACCATAAAGGCATCTCCTAGGCATCCCGTGCCTCTGCCCACTCGGGAACAAAAAAGTCCACATTTTGTGTTTGACTGTGTGGCGAAGATGTCGATGGTCAGTGTGCCCCACCTGTCGCAGATGTGTGCTAACACCAAGTCGTCAAGGACCCATTCGTGTATCTGAGTAGTCAGACGGCTCAAGCGATCTGGCACATCGTTGTCTTCTGTTACCACATGGATGGCAACTGGGAATATGTGATGGTCATAACACCACTCCCATCAGTGATTCAACAGATACAGAAGGGACAAAGAATGAGTGCCTTCTTGCTTGTTTATGTAGTACAAAGTGGTCATGTTGTCTGTGACCACTTGTACTCCTCGACCGGTCAGCAGTGGGCAGAAAGCTCGAAATGTTTTGATAACTGCTAGCATTTTTTGATGATTGATATGTAGCAGCCTTTCTGAGCTGGACCATCTGGCATGAATCTTGTGAACGCTACAGTGTGCACCCCATCCTATTGTACTGGCATTGGTTGTAACTTGCACAGTCAATTGAAGGGGCTTGAATGGTCAACCAATGAGCAGATCAGGTGCAAATGTCCACCATGTTAGTTGCTGCACCAACTCTTGGGTGACCTGGAGACACTTGGCAGGGTTGTCCAGCAGATTGATCTGAGAGAGGTACCATGCCTGCAGGGAGCGCATCTTCAGCTGCGCATGTGGAAGCGCAGATGTGGTGGAAGACATCAGACCGAGGAGAGGTTGAGCGTAGTGTGCTGTCACTCTGGCCCTAGGCCAAAAAGGGCAGATAGCCCAATGTAATTTGTGGATCCTTTCCGCTGGGAGGAAGACTCTGGCTCTGTTGGAGTTTAGAAACATGCCAATATAGTCCATGGTCTCAGATGGTATGAGATGGGATTTCATTACATTGACTTAAAGGCTTAGATCTGCCAGCGTTTGCAACGCAAAAGCCATGTCCTCTTGTGCCTTGGCATAAGAGCCAGCGACGATCAACTAGTTGTCTATGTACAGTGGTGCCCTGCATTGCGGCATTAATTCGTTCCGCAAAAATCGCTGTTGCACAAAAACGTCGCAATGCGAAATAAAAAAGCCCATAGAAACACATTAAAATGCGATTAATGCGTTCCTATCGGCTTAAAACTCACCGTTCAGCGAAGATCCTCCATAGCGCAGCTATTTCCGGTGCCTCTTAAGCGAGGAATCCATCCCAGAAAACAGTGGGCGGCCATGTTTTTTTCCTGGTGGCCATTTTGAAACCGCCGATCAGCTGTGCAAAAATGGTCGCTTTGCGATGATCGGTCATCGCAAAGCGAAAATACCCCATAGGGAACATCACAAAGCGGTCGCAAAAGCAATCGCAAAATCTTCGTTGCAAAGCGATTTCATCGCTAAACAGAGCGCTCGCTAAGCGAGGCACCACTGTATGGAAAAAACATGATGTTGTTGAGATGAAGGTAGGCTGCTACTGGAGCTAGACACTTCATGAAAGTCCTTGGGGTGGTGGCAAGGCCGAAGGATACACAGAATTGGTACACTGATTCCATGAAAATAAATCTGAGATATTTGCGGTGACGCTCATGGATGGTAATGTGAAAGTAAGCGTCCTGCAAGTCTGTCACGATGAACCAATCTCCCGGAGCAAGGTACGATGGACTAACCATCGGTGATACAGGTAAGTGTTGAGACACCTGAGATCCAAGATAGGTCATAGGCCTCCATCCTTCTTGAGGACTGTGGAGTAGAAGCCGTCCAGTGCCTCTTGGAAAAAAAACACGTTGAACGACATGCTTCTGAACAAGAACAGAGACTTCTTTCTCTAGAATGGGTAAGAAATTATTTTGAGATGACCAGGAGGAGGAAGATCCAAGAACTCTAGTAGGTAACCAAAATGTATGATGTCGAACACCCAAGTGTCTGTGGTGATGGTGGACCACTTGTTGAGAAAGGGGGCTAGCCGGGGAAGGTAAGAAGGATCGAATGGATGAATCAGTGGAAGACAGTCAAAGATATTGTTTTCCCTTCTTGGCAGGGTGACAGAAATTTTGGCAATGTTGATTGGAAGTTTGAGGTCTGAAGGACATGGTAGCAGAAGATGGAGGATTTGATCTGTCTTGAGGAGGTTTATAAGAATAGTAAGATTGCTGATAAGGCTGGTACGACTGTTGATATGACTGCTGGGAGCTAAATGGTCTGAGCCATTGTTGTTGGTGATAGTTGGCCTGTTGAATGTAATAAGACCTGGCTGTTTTTATAATTTTATGCAGATTCTCCATGACTTCATCCATTTTTTCTTGAACAACCCCACAGCATCAAACAGAAGCTCTTCTATCCATGACCTAGCGTCATTATTGATGCCTGCTGAACGGATACAGGCATGTCTATGAAGAGCAATGGCTAATGTCATCACCTTAGATGCTGCATCAGCGGTGTGCCTTGATGCCAAGCACTGTTGTTTGGCAAGTGTTGTTGCTTTTAAATGTGTGTTCAGGGCCATGGCTCTTGTTTCTTCAGGGGCTGCTTGAAGAATTGGTAAAATTTTATTCCATAGCTGCCTCTGATAGGCACCCATGGCCACTTGATAATTAGAGACCCTCATCACAAAAGTTGCCAACGAGTATAATAAACGACCAAGCACATCCAGTTTAAGACCCTCTCTGTTAGTAGGGGCCACCTTAGATTGATTTCTGCTCTTGATTGGCTAGATTGGACAATGATAGAGTTTGGAGCCGGATGCTTGCTCAAGAAAGATGTATCATTACTATGCGTTCTGTAATGATTCTCAATTCTCCTTGAAATCTGCAGGGATGTAGGTGGTTGAGTTCATGATTCTTTGATTAAATCTAACATCGATGGAATAAATGCTAAACTTAAAGGTGGTGATTTTTCTTGATTTATGTCGTTAAATACTAAGTCTTGTCTGGGGGGTGGGGGTGGAGGTTAATCAACGGCCAATTCCAAAGACTTAGCCATTAATAATATCAGTTGCGAGTATGACATGAAATCTTCTGATGGAGATGGGTGGTGGTGATATGTTAGCCACGTCTGAGTCTGGTATCACTAAATCATTTGAGTGATCCTACTATCTATGGATAAAAACAGTAAAGTAACAATATATAAAGGTAAGACAACATCCGTAAGTGAAGTAAACTTGTTATGTACTGTCAAGTTGCCTCAGACTCATAGCACCCCTATGAATGAGCAATCTCTAAAATGTCCTGTTCTCAGCTGTCCAGCTCATGTCTTGTAGATCATGTCTTGTCTGAAGACTGGTTCTTTTGGGAGGTCAGCGCATCTCATATTTGGTCTTCCTATTCCTGTTGCCTTCCACCTAGACTTTGTTGTTGTTTAGTCGTTAAGTTGTGTCCGACTCTTCGTGACTCCATGGACCAGAGCACGCCAGGTCCTTCTGTCTTCCACTGCCTCCCTAAATGCTTCGAAATTGTTTAATTTCATTTAATTACTGAGGGCGATTACTGAGGGAGTTTTGGTGGCATTCTCACCAACTTTTCTAGAAAGTAAGTCTGATTTAAATAGGATTTACTTCCAGGAATGCCTGATTAGGACTGCAGACTCAAAAATGATTGCACACTGTATGTTGTGAAGAGATCTGGTGTGATGGAATCCCACCGCTGTTAATGACAAGGCCAGCAGTACAAATAATAATTCTAATTATCATCATCCAGCCTATCAAGGAGGCACAGTGAGGAATCGAATTCTCAACCAGAAGCCAAAACCACTGAGCTACCTCGCAGGTCCCTTTAAGGCGACGAGCAAACATTAGGGGCAGGGAAGCCTGTTCTGATCGGGGGAGAGGCTCATCCCCCCGAAGCCAAAACCAGGTCCCTTTAAGGCGACGAGTAAACATTAGGGGCAGGGAAGCCCGTTCTGATCGGGGGAGAGGCTCATCCCCCCCTCTTGACCGCTGGGACCACGAGCCGCCTTGCAGAGGCTACGTTTTCAGGCCCGTCTCTTTCGGGTTCCGCTTCCCTTGCAGGCAGCGGCGGGCCATCTGTTAGCGGCGCGCCTGTGAGCCTCTCGCTGGTTTTCAGGCCCGACTGAGCCTGGGCCGGCCTCCCATTCGTACACTCTGAGGCGACGCCGGAGCAGCCCAGTTTTGTGAGGAGGCGGAGACCCGCGGGCCCTGGCCAGCGAGAGCAAGCGAAGCAAACGTGGCTTCCATGCAGCCTGAGCGCGGCGACCGGCCCCGAAGGGGAGGCGGCCGGCAGACTCGGAGGCGGCCGGGCGGTAGGGAAAGGCAGGCTGAAGGCGCCGGAGGCCGCGCCGAAGACGGCCCCAACCGAGGAGGGAGGAGCCGGGGAAGAAGCGGAGGAGGGGGACGAGGCGGGGGCCAGGGCCGGCGCGACACCCGCGGCAGAGGGGTGGCCGCCTCCCCCTCCGCTCCTCAGTGTTACGAGTCGGTAAGAAAAATAAACACTCCCCCGCCCCTTCCTCCTGGTGCGAGGCCGAGCACGGGTGGGCGGCCGGAGTTCTCTCTCTCTCTTTCTCTCTCACACACACACACATGACCCGCCACCACGTGAAACGTTTTGTGTCTGAGGCGCTGCCGCGGTGAGGTGGCGTGTGTTCATTCCCCGCTGCCCAACGTCAGGGGCACGTCATGAGCGCCCAGGCCCGTTGGTGCGTTTTTGTGGCCCTGTCGGCGGTCTCTAGAAGTGTAATGGCAGTTGGAGCTGGTGGGGGTGTGGATGCCAGCAGGCGGCGGAGTTCTCGCTAGGACGTTTCGCCCTGTGGCAACATTATGTCTTCCCATAGACACATTAACGACTTGGAAGGCATTGACAGCGTGCCCTTGTCTCCTTAACCGGTTTTCCATGTGAGATAAGAGGGAAGAAGCAGTGGGGGAAAAAAGGGGGGGCTTACTAGTGCTAAATGACAGCGCCGGAAGGCGCAGTAAATTTCAATGAATGATACAGGCCAATGGTGTAATACAAGCCTAGTTTAAAACTACTCTGTCACTTATACAGATCATGCATGTGTGCTCTTTAGCCCTACCCCTTCACTGCTTCTTCTCCGACACTTATTATCACCCATCATCCTCATTCACAAGCAAAAACATGTTGGCATGTTCTCCCGCTCACTTTACTCTGTGGCATGTCTGTAAACCTAAGAAGAAAGAATGTGATGGCCTCCCCAAATAAAAGAGAAGTTTATGCTGTCAAAGAAGGAAAAGTAAATTCTGCTGTGCTTTTCTCTTCTTAACACACATCAGTACATTTACATCTAGATTTTAGCACTCTATAAGTTTTGTAGTTTTCAAAGAAAACTATGCAAGCATATCCAAAAAAAAAGGCTTAAAAGTGATATATTTCAGTGTGAACTTTTGAGGATACATGTCTGAAGAAGTGGATGTATGCACTGAAGTTCACATTGAAATACTGTACAACAGTCTTCAAGGTGCAGTGTTTTGGTTTTTTGTTTGAGTATCTGCTAAACTTTGGTACCACGGTTACAGCCATGGATTTAGAACCAGCGGTTGCAGAAGCTTGGTAGAGCTACATACCGATTATTTTATTTTATTTTTGTGGCAGTGAGGGAGAATGGATCTCCAGGACTTCCTGCCTCACTGATATATTAGCACTGGAAGTCAGGGAGCTTATAGGTCCTGTAAACCCTGTTGAAAAGAACAGTTGTGGGAGCTGTGGAGCTGTGCTTTGCTTGTAAGAGTAAGTTTGGAAAGTATTTTGAGCAAAGAGGCTATGGAGGTGCCACTGAGGAAGTTGTCCCTCGTCCCTCCTATAGAGTTTGTAGAGTCTTCTCTTAGATCGTATATACCTGTGGTGATGGAGATAAAAATGTATAGCATGGAAACAATAGGACTAGGTAGTCATGAAATGTGAAAGACAAAAATTGATCTGAATTGTTTCGCCACAGTGTTATTATATGATGAAGAGTAAGGTGGAATTCTAATCTAATTAGCAAGGAAGTAAATCCTGCTGTTCAGAAATTATCATGCATAACAAAAGTACTGTTCAGGGATTAATATGTGTAACAAAAGTGGGCTACTTCCAACGATTCAGGCACTGTTTTTGCCCTGGATCTTGGAGACCTGCTCCCTCCTCTTACCTCATGAACAAATTTGTCTCTAATATTGCAGATTTATATCCAGTTGACTCAAAAAGACTCAAAGAACATTATTTTCTCCTTTTAATCTTGCTTTAGGCTGTAAAAGTTTTGTTTAGAAATGATAAAGTGACAAACCAGAAAGTCTTGTGAGGCCAGGATGTTCTTCACTCAAAAGGACCTGGAGGACATTGTGCAATCCTCAAACCAGTATGGTAGTTTATTTTAACTCCTCTATTTCACTTTGTTCACCCTTTATCTAGAGCAGTGGTTCTTAACCTTTGTTACTCGGATGCTTTTGAACTGCAACTCCCAGAAACCCCAGTCAGGACAGCTGGTGGTGAAGGCTTCTGGGAGTTGCAATCCAAAACTCCTGAGTAACCCAAGGTTAAGAACCAGTGATCTAGAGCAGTGCACTATGCATTTTGATAGTGGCTTTCCAGGATTTCAAACAGGATTACAGTATTCTCCTGCTCTGTTGGGGGTAGACTGTGTCTCCCTAGCTCTTTTCAGGTACTGCTTGCCCAGCTGGATTTGACATGTGAAGTGGGAGGTGGCTGCCTGGACCCTTTCCATTTTTACTTTTCTCAGAAAGAAAATGACAAGTCTAAAGAAGTGGTTTCTTGCAGAGGTTCCCCGCGTAAGCAAGGGCCAAATTGAAGTGGGGCAAGTAATGTTTGGATAGAATTTCTGTATTCCAATGGAAAAAACAAGCTAAAGGTGCAAAAGGAGGAATGGGAGTGGGTAATAGATTTTAAAAGCTAAATCGTGTGTTTTTATTTTATGCTCAGCCTAGTAGGCAAAATTAGCTTGTCTATTAGTTGATTTAGCTGTCATTCTAAAAGTTAAAAGTACATTTTTCTAAATACATTATATTCTCAGGCAACTGAGTTGAAATCAGTGGAATTCACATAAGTCGTCACGAATGTATCTCATTAACTTTAGTGGGTCTGTTTTACTTGGGACATGTGGATTTAGCCCATTATTTTCTGTATCCTCCTTGCAGTGGCCCCCATAAATAGGGCAGTGTTATCCCTGTGTTGCAGATAGGGAGGAGATACATTTAATCAAGGTGAGAGCTGAGCATTTTCTGGCCCATAATCTTAACTAATACAGTATACTGCATGTTCTCTATTTACACTTTACAAAAATCACTTATGTAAAGCCAAAGTAAGAAATGAAGCCATATAACATCGCTTACACAGAAACAATTTATTCTGCCTTTTAAAAGAATTTACAAGAGGAGTTATGAACCTTAGAAACTATAAAAGCTTCCATATTGCTCTGTTGCAAATTTGTTTACAGTATTATAATGCATTGTCACTAACACTGGAAGCTGCTACTAACTTTGCAACACCTATGTTAAAGAAACATTGTAAATACAGTATACACAAATGTTTTTATTGCACATGGTTATGTGCTGTTTCTTTAATCTGCACAAAGATAATATAAACAGTGATGCCATTGAAGCATCCCCAATATGAACATTTGCAATACTATATATGGAGGCAATATAGAAGAGCCTTGTGGCACAATGGTTAAACTGCAGTATTGCAGTTTAACCATTGTGCCACAAATTCTGCTCATGACCCAGGTTCCATCTCAGGTACCCAGTTTGAGGTTCACTCAGCCTTCTATCCTTCTGAGGTTGGTAAATTTGGTACCCAGCTTGCAGGGGTCGGTGGGCAGGATGTGTGCCTTGCATAATTAAATTGAAAATTACCCAGAGAATGCTTTACGTCAGGGGTGTCCAACCTTTCACCTTCCCTGGGCCAAATTAGAAGATGTAAATTTGGTTTGGGCCGCACATAGATTTGGGTGGGCCGCATAGGGGGCAGCCCTAGCCGTCCTCCGCAGCCCCGCTCCAAACACGCTTACCGGCAGCTGTGGTCTCAGACAGCAGAGGCTGCCAGCTTCGACTCTGGCAGCTTTATGGGGCCGGGAGGGGTCCACCTATTGACGGGGATGGGGCAATGCAGTCACGCAGCCCCCCTCTCTCCTCTCCTCCCCTCCCGCTCCTTCCTTCCCTCTCTCCCCACCTACCGTTGTGACGTGCCCAGGCCGCATTGTGGCCACAAGCACTGTAACTTGAAACTTCGGAATTTCTTTAAAAAATAAAAAATTGCACTGGGTCGCATTACGAGCCGACCTGGGCTGCATGCAGCCCACGGGGCCGTGGGTTGGACAAGCCTGCTTTAAGTACTATGAGGCAGCATAGAAGCAGCACACTTTGCTTCTGTCTGATGTGTTCAGTGGGAAATATATATGTAATGGCAGGTCTTGGCATGTATTGGTCAGACAATTTCTTACAACAGTGTGTAATTCTAAGAGAATATCATACAGCAGTATGACTCTGCTTTATTGACATTGATGCTTAATCTTTGAATTGGTTTTTACGTTTAGACTTGTTTTGTTTTTATTATCTAATAGTATTTGTACTTCACTTATATCAGTGTAGATGAAGGTTAATACTAAAAAATTATACAGTGTTTACCCTAGCTTTTTGTTTCTATTTGGCAACCTATTTGCCAAATGAAAATGTCATTTACCAAATAAGAATAATGTTCACCCTGTTTTATGTGCCCAATCAAAAATCTGTGGGCACTTCAAGGTCATCTTAATCTTAATGCTGCATAAATCAAAAGACAAATGAGACGATAGTCCTTCAAGAAGACAATTATTAATATTGCCAGCAAATCAAATGATTTATTGCCAAAGTAGAAAAAAAATTACAAATTGAAAAAAATGTACAGTGGTGCCTCGCACAATGAGTGCCTCACACAACGATGAATTCACACAACAATGCCTTTTTCTGTTAAATTTGCTGCCTCACACAGCGAT